TTTTTTATAGGTCTTCCCAATTTATGTTCCTGTACTTATGTATAATATACTATCACAGCTCAATCGGTGTACCAGCCATAGCCCATTGGCTGTTTTATAGGTCTCCCCACTTTATGTTCCTGTATTTATGTATAATATAATACCACAGCTCAATCGGTGTATCAGCCATAGCCCATTGGCTGTTTTATAGGTCTCCCCACTTACTGTTCCTGTATTTATGTATAATATTATACCACAGCTCAATTGGTGTATCAGCCATGGCCCGTGGGCTGCTGTCGCGCATGCTCCTCACCTTCTAGTTGATGAGTTTACATTCAACGCTTTTGACTTCCACAGGATATCCTTGATCGCGGGAAGATCCCTATTGTTGTGGGGGGCACCAGTTTTTATCTGCGTATGTACCGAAATGGTTTACCGGGTGGAGCGGCTACTACTAAGGAATCTGAGGTGTGTATGAGTATGATGTAGATACGGACGGGTGTGTGTGATACTAGCCTGCGGATTAGTGTATAATGGAATATATACACGCCTGCATATGTTTAATATAAACGTATGTGAGAGTCGGTTGAAAGTGTGTTGTATGTGTGAGTGTGTGTTAGATGTATTTGCATACGGTTGTCTGTATTATTAGTGTATAGTGGAATATATACACACACCTGTATATGTTTAATATAAACGTATGTGAGAGTCGGTTGAAAGTGTGTTGTGTGTGTGTGTGCGGTCCCCTGTGCACCTGCTACGCAAGGCCGCCGACGTCTTAAAACCCTAAACCCTAAAACCCCTAATCTTTAAACCCCTAAAGTCTACGATGTGTGCGCACGAGCATGTGAGTTTATACCAGTATTTGTTAACATTTACACAAACCCTAAACCACTACGAATTCGTGGGCAAACCTTACCGTACAGTTTGCCAGTATGGTTTTAGGCTGTTAAGATTATTGAAGGCGAATGATACGGCCGTTTAAAAGGATGACGATCTGGAGACCGAAGTAACATACAATCAAAGGTGGTTGTTGTTGTAGTACAAGCGTACAACCCTCTACAACACCACACATCCCGTTTTCTAATCTGGATTGGCTTTTTCCTAAACGCAGGCGGAGCTGAAACGGTGCTTGCCATGTCTTGTTTGTGCTGAAATCGGGATTAGATCCTTCCATGCAGGTGCCATCGTAACCAACCATCTATACCACCACACAACCCAAGATCTAATCTGGATCGGCTTCCAAACCCGAAAACCCTAAACCCGAAAACCCTAAACATTACATCCTAAACCCTAAAAATAATCAGGCCGAGGTGCAAAAGATCATCGATGCGGACGGCAGAGATTGGGACACGTCGCTCGCAAGGCTAACCAAAGCAGACCCGATTTACGCACCCACTCTGTGCCGTAATGACTGGTATCGGTTAAAACGCGCGCTGGTCATCGTTCACTCCACGGGAAAGCCGGTGTCGTACTTTAAGAAGAACGAGAATATCAGTATGTGGCCATGGGCTGTGAGTGGGCTGTGTGTTTGTGTGTGTGTGAGTATATGTGTGTCTGTGTGTCTGTGTCTGTGTATTTGTGCGTATTTACCCTTTGCATGTTTGTGTGTTTTTGTGTATTTATCCTTTGTGTGCTTTTGCGTTTAGTGGATACGTTTTGTGTTGTACGAATGTCTGTGGATATGGGTAGGCGGGTGTGTGACCCTGTGGGGGACCGTGTTTGTGACCATTTGTGTAGACATTGACAAGCACGCTTGCACATATATATTTTGTAGCTATGTGATATGCAAGAACTGCGCGGGGCTCTACAACAACAATGTACATAATCGTATTTGTGTAAGAACTACATCTTGTCTTTATAACTTAAGCATTCATATATACATGTATGTATGTATGTATGTATGTATTTAAGTATGTATGTATATATTTAAGTATGTATGTATGTATGTGATGAATTGCAGGAGAGAGATGCGAATACGTTCTATGTGTTCTGTTCTATCATTTGTATTTTGAATCTGTTCAACTTCCATATAACTATCAATGAGATGTCTAAGTAGCTGTACATGTATCATGTACCATAACCATTCAGACTTCAAACATGTACGTACATATTGATTATAGTATATATATATATATATATCTTATATTATAGTATGTGTATACATCTTATATTATAGTATGTGTATACATCTTATATTATAGTATGTATATATAACTTATATTATGTCTACTTTATTATAGTATGCATATATATTTATATGTATATATATCTACCAGATCAGTACTGGTGCGACTACACTTATGTGCAAACCCTAAACCCTACGGCAATAGAGTTGTGCTGCTGCTGCCCTCTTCCCCCACGCCCAACATCCTTCTCCTATCTACCTGCCATTCGTTCTGTGCATGCATGTATGGCTGCCTAGTAGTATCTTACTAACGAATGCGTTGTATGTGTGCACACTCGAAGGAATGTACCTTCTCTCTTGAGTTACGTACTACACAGTGTGTTCTATAGTCAGGCATGGATATGCTTACTTTAACTTTATAGTCACGCATGGATATGCTTACTTTAACTTTATATTCATGCATGTATATGCTTGCATTAACTTTATATTCATGTTATGCTTACTTTAACTATATATTCATGCATGTATATGCTTACTTTAACTTTATATTCACGCATGTATATGCTTCTTTAACTTTATATTCACGCATGTATATGCTTACTTTGACTTTATACTCACGCATGTATATGCTTACTTTAACTTTATATTCACGCATGTGTATGCTTTCTTTAACTTTATATTCACGCATGTATATGCTTAATTTAACTTTATATTCACGCATGTATATGTTTACTTTGACTTTATACTCACGCATGTATATGCTTACTTTAACTTTATATTCACGCATGTATATGCTTACTTTAACTTTATACCCACGCATATATACGCTTGCTTTGTCACAGCGAGATCTGAGCAGGACTATGACTTCCGCTGTTTTTTCTTGACGCAGCCGCGGCTTGACTTCTGTTTGAAAAGCGATGCGCGCTGCGAAGAGATTGTCGATCGAGGTCTGATCGAGGTATGTGATAAGATGTATCAGAGGTGCACATATTGCACTGAAACTTAATGTACATGATATATGCTTTCATGCGTAAGTGGTTGGTTTATGTTCACGAATTAGTGCTATCGGGGTGTGATCTGTTTGGATGTTATGGATCAGGGTTATTTGTGTGTACAATCCTTGTAGGCTTGGAGATCATTGCATATCTTGAAATGTTGTATGACCACCTGTCGCGGAAGATGGCTTTGCACGCATTGTATGCGCTTTTTTAAGCTGTATACACACGCACACACACATATATATATATATATGTGTGTGTGTGTGTGTATGTGTATGTGTATGCATGCATGCATGCCTGCATGTATGTATGTATGTATGCATGTATATATATATACCACAAGGACATGGTGTATCATATCGAGTGTGCCAGTTCGGATTTGTCAACATACCACCACCCTGTGTTGGCAGATAGATTAGCTACTAGGTTGAACTACTTTTCGTACACTCTTGCGTACAGGACGTCTCTATTCTCACAAAATTACCGAACTGCCTCAGAAATAAGTTCACTCACTTACTCACTCACTCCTACGTCAATGTGTAGGAAACGGCTAAGATATATGGGATGGGTTTGTTGTATGAGCATACTGTGGGAAGCGCCATCGGATACAAGCAGGCGATCCAGTACTTGAATGCGGAATGGCTTACACCTCTTAAGGTATTGTGGGCCTCTGTTGTGGGCCGTTAATTTAGGTGGTTCACTCGAAAATTGCACCGATTTTTAGGGTTTTGGGGGTTTAAGGTATTGCATGCCTCTGTTGTGGGCCGTACATTTAGGTGGTTCACTTGGAAGTTTTTTATATATATATATATGTA